AAGTCACTCACCTGATCTACCACGGAGTTGTCACCGGGTCTGCCACGAAGGTCATCTACCCGGGCTGCCATGGAGGCCACCCACTTGAGCTGCCGCGGAAGTCGCATACCTGAGCTGCCACGGAGGTCACCTGTGCTGCCACGGGGGATGATTGCCATCGCGTGCTGCCTCGGGGGTCACTCACCTGAGCTGCCGCGGAAGTCGCCTACCTGAGCTACCACGGAGGCTGTCACCGGGTCTGCCACGAAGGTCACCTACCTGCTGCCACGGAGGTCGCGGCAGGGCCTGTCATGGAGGTCACCTACCTGGGCTGCCATGGAGGTCGCCCACCTGAGCTGCCACGGAGCCTGCCACCCGGGCGGCCACGGAGGTCTCGGCAGGGCCTGCCATGGAGGTCACCTACCCGGACTGCCATGGAGGTCATCCACCTGGGCTACCACGTGGGCTGCCCACACGGGCCGCCGTGCAAACTGCCAACCCGGGCCGCCATGGAGCCGCCATCCGGGCTGCTGTGGAAGCTCCCCACCCTGGCTGCCGTGGAGGCCGCCCCACCCAGGCTGCCACCCGAGCTGCCGTGAAGGCTGCCCACCCGGGCTGCCATGGAGGCCGCCACCCGGACTGCTGTGGAGGCCGCCCACCTGGGCTGCCATAGAGGTCTTCACCCTCCTGAGAAGCCGCTTACGGGACGGCCAACGACATCGGACTAACCAAAGTGGTTGGTGCCCGTGACCCGGATCTGGTGAACGACAAACTGAGGTGGGGACGAGGTACAACAGGTGCGTGTGTGTACTGTACTAGGTATACGATGTCATGTTGTAGGCGTTGCTCAAGATCAGATGATTGTGTAGATTTAGATGAGTAAGGGGTGTGACTTTTTTTGTATGAGTTGCGAGGACGCAACTAGGGTTGTTTGGACTGAAGATGTAGCACGCTACATCTTGAACATTTAACGTAATATCTTTTCGGCACGGCTCGGTCTGGCAGTCCCCCCCCCTCGCAGTCCGGTCACAGGCCTAGCCCTCCATTCACACACCCGTCGCTGCTACCGGGTGACGCACAGCTGAGCGGAGCGCTGCTGCTGCGCTCTCCTCCCCTCTCATTATTCACTACCCCCCCCCCCCCCCGTCACCAGGCCCGCCATCCCCATTCAGCACTTTTCCCCAACTCCCTCAACGAGCACTGTCCGTGAGAATAGCCCGCAGTAGACACATCTGCGAGAAGACGATGCCGGTCACATCAGTACGAACCGCCGAGACACAGCTGAGTCAACAAGCTACGTCAGGACTGCGGCCGGCGGCGGCGGCGAGCGAGCACGTTAAGGTACTCTGTCACTTGTCACGTACTCTGTCAGGTACCACAACAGCTGCGCCGCGCTGAGTCCCACGGTGGGAATGGCACAACCAGGAAGATCCTACGGCAAGCAAAAACGCTGTAGTTCCAGAGGTCTTCGCAATGGGCAGCCGTTAAACTCTCATTACAACGCCCGCCTATGGAGACAGCTACCGCAGGATGAGCGATCCGAGCCTCCTCAAATAACGCTGGATCAGTAAGATATGTCAACAGATCATGGAGCAGTGTCAAGGATAGATGCCGGCTGGAGCACACAGCCTCCTTTGTCGGGCACAGCAACCCAGGGTGAGTGAACCTGGCAAAACAACCGGGTGACCAACCTCACAATGGCCTCATGAGGTAGTTCCAGAGATCTCCGCAGAGGGAGAAGGCGCTGACTTTCGGCCACACCCGGTACAGTGGGCGGAGCAAGAGTGACGTCACAAGGGGCGTTGGCGGCAGACGAAACGGAAGGAAACAAAAGTTTGAATAAAATGAAATTGAAGAATCAAAATTAAAACTCGAAAATCACAAACCTTTCGGGGATTGTTTTATGCCAGCGATTATTTAAGTATAAAGCACTCAACACGAAGACGATTCGACGGCCAAAAATTGCAGGCACAGAGGAGTAAGGTGACTAAACAGAATAGAGGGCGCCATCTTACGGACCCACCCACCAGAGGAAGGCAGAGGAAGATGACGGCGCAAGGGCGTGGCAGTCACCCCCTCCCCCCAACTATAAAAGGGTGCGCCACCCAGCCAGGAGGGTCACAGTCGAGCAGCCGAGGGTCACAGTCGAGGAGCCGAGAGTGACAGTCTGCAGCCGGAGCCGGAGACGACATCTGGAGGCCGCCGTCAGTCCGAGGTCACCCGCGAGAAGCCTCTTCAGTTCGACCGACCAGAGCCGGAGGACAACCGCCGACGCTTGTGACCACACTGAGAAGCGGAAGCACAGGGAAACTCCAGAATGTGAGTGTTGTTGAAAAGTCTGCTCAATCCCAATCCTTGACCCCCCCCCTCTGCCCAGCCTGCCGTGCCGTGACGACTGCCAAACATTTTCGGTTGCCATAAAATGCACTCTCAATTGGAATTGGAAAACTTAAATTACTTTGAACTTATTGGTCCAGACACCCTAGTAGCACATTAGGATCTGAATTGTGAAGTCATGCAAGAGCCGCCAGCAAATATGTTATCGTCAGTTGGAGTTCACGATTAGGCCGGGAGCGAGATGCTAAAATTTGAATAAGCAGCTCATTGTCACGAACGTTGAGATTGATGACATGATGCGTGTCAGCATTGAATAATGAATATGTCTTTGTGTTTGGCCAAGCTGGTTCGTTTGATTTATTCTCGGCGGTAGTCAAGTGCGATTTGAGGTTGGAATGTTGGTTAAAATAAGGGTGTAGATTCGTGCTGTACTCATTAAAAGTTGCATTGCGAAATCATTGGTAATATTGCTATAGGAATTAATTGTGGAGTCGAAATCAATTATAGAACAGGTAAATACGGTTGGAAAGAAATGTAATGGTTTAAGGTGGCGACTGATTCATGCGATCGATCTATGAATATGGCTATGAGTTATGATTTTCGACAGATACGAATGCTTGAGCTTACGGCGGAATTTCTTCTGTTACTTAGGTGCAGAGTTGCGAGCAGTGGTTTGAGGTTGACGGTTTGACACTTGGCGACTTTAGATGGTCACTTTGCGTCATTGAAATTGCGAAATGTCGAGTAACAGGTAGATGTAGAATTATTTGTGGTTAGAACTAATATGCGACTAATATAGGTGCCGATCGTTGTGCTTTTGTAGAATAAATACTAGAAAGGACCACCTTTGTTGAGGAACGATTAAATGGGACAGGAATTTAATTTAAAAAAAACTTACGTTGAATGGAGCTGATGAGATGTCGAACAGGGAGATATTGCAGCGATATTTTACCAGATTCACACTCACTGACACATCCGGTGAATCCACCCGGCCAGAAGAGGCAACACGCACGAACACTACACCGCGAGTGATGACGCGCCCATCGCGGCGTGGCCTTGACTGACTGTCGACGCGACGCCAGCTGGCGGCCAGTATCGTCGCTCTCGACGCGGGCGTTGAGCCGCCAGAGGGTGTAAAAAGCAGCCACAACAGGGGCAGTGGGTTAGCCGTAATTGGGGCGCGTGCGGTAGGTGAAGGTCACGTATAGGAGCATGGTTAGTTGTGGAAAGTTGCAACAGGATAAGAACGTAAACAGTTAATGCATAATTTTAAATATGACATGCTATATGATATCTTGGACTGCATTTCGTTTGATGTGCATTGTTTACTGCTAATAGGATGATTTAAATTATATTTTCTATGAAAAGCTAGGGACCCCTATGACAATATTCTGGCACTCTATAAAGATAATTTGTATAGGTAACTAGTAGCCCATCAGAAACTATCGAACGAGTGTCAAAGAGTCATTTCCGTTTGAGCATTCAGTAATTCACTATGATACGGTGGATCACAACCAGACGGCAGATCGATGCGTGTTAATTGGTTCTAGATCATATGTCTGATTAAAACAAGAGCGGTTCAAGGTCTGCTAGGATGGTATACGAGAACTGATGATAAGGTTCACGCGTGCAGCAGCAATTAGGACTTGAGATTACGATTAGGTTCGGATAAATTATGCGTTTCTGTTATTCGCGGTCTTGCGAGTTAGCGCCAATAATTACTCCAACAATATTGGCACAGGGCATTGTGAGGCACAGACGGCTTGTTTGCCCGTCTCCTATGGCGTAACGAAAACCAGCAACGCTAATACGAATTAAGTGGGCAATTTTCTTAATGGGGAGGCCAGTGATATAGGAATGGGTGACTGGACGAATGATCACATTCAATTTATCAATGTAATTACCACCCATATGTTTGGCAGTGGTCATCGGGACTTCGAAATGCCCTGTCCTTCACCTACCCAACTGTGCCGCAAACCTAGCTGATCGGATCCCTCCATCCTTAATCCGAGCAGTGAAGAACCATCTCGTGCATCATGGTCTATACAATGAACAGAATCATCAAGCCTCTAAATTAAAAAGCATCTTCCATCAGATGTATTTGTACGCAAGGTGGATCTATACCTACATCTCCCAGGCGGACGTCATCTCAAGATCTCTATCAAGATCCCTCTCTAAAGCTATCTCTATTGGATACCTACATCTATCTCAGGATCCCATCACTACATCTGGATCTGATCTCTAGATCTCTCTCGGGATCTTTTCCAAGACTCTCAAGCTCCCCTGTTCTACCAGCTTTACTATCAAGGATCTCCCAGCAGCAATTTGCTCTCTCTTCTGCTACAACCAGCCGAACAACAGTGGACACCGGTGTTTGATGAACCGCAAAGAAGATGCAGCAGTTTTTTTTATTCCTTCTTTCTTCTTTTCTCTTAAAATTCCCTCGCTACAGTATCCCTCTTATACCTACTCCTCTGCAGCGCTCTGACCCGTCTGGTACCGCTCTGACCCCGCTGTGCCGCCCGGCAGACGTGTCGGTGCCGGCGCGCTGTCTGGCGCTGTGTCCCTCTCTACTGCTGGTAGCCCTCTGTACCGCTCCCTGTGTCGACAGACGTGTCGGTGCCGGCGCGCTGTCTGGCGCTGTGTCCCTCTGTACCCCTCTGTACGGCTCTCTGTGCCGGCAGACGTGTCGGTGCCGGCGCGCTGTCTGGCGCTGTGCCCGTTCGAGCAGCCGTTCCTGCTGGCCGGCGGCGCCGACGGCTCGCTGCGGCTGCACACCACCACCGGCGAGCGGCCGCTCATCACCTGGAACGCGGCCGCCGACGCCGCTCCGGTGCTGGCGCTCCACTGGTCGCAGCACCGGCCCTGCGTCTTCTTCGTCCTGGACGCCGACTCCAGGTCAGTGGCCGCCGCGCGGCTGCGGTCACCTACCGGTCTGCGGGGGTCGACTGGTCACCAACGAGTGTGTGTGCGTACGTGCGTGCACGTCTGTCTGTGTCTGTGTATGCGTTGTGATATCCCCCGCCGTCCCAGCTGGGCGGCTCGGGGGCTGAGCTCTTACACCCCCGGCAGGATCCACGTGTGGGACCTGAGCGCGGGGGACATCTTCCCTGCCGAGACGGACCAGGTGCAGTCGGGCCCGGTGACGGCCATGGACCTCAGCTACAGCGCCGACGGCGACAGTCGCGTCACACACCTGGTGAGTAGCCACAGTCGCGTCACGCCGCACGCGGCGACAACCGCGTCACGCGGCCATAGTCGCGTCACACACCTGGTGAGTGGCGACAGTCGCGTCACGTGGCGGCAGTCGCGACAGTCGCGTCACACACCCAGTACTAGACTTACAGAGTTCATTGTCAGAAGCTGTGAAGGATCTGTGTCAACATGGCCATGGAACCTCTTGTAGACGCAAATCATATCTGTGCGTCTACGCCGGTTGCGCCGTCTGAATGTGGGTCTGAATTTGATAACGACAAACATTGTGTTTTGATTGTAAATGCTGTGAGCGGCCTACACCTAGTTAGGAATCGGCATCAGTTTTAATGGCTCGTTCTAGAAGTATGTACCGTCATCAAACGTTGCTTCACGTTGTTCCTGGTCACCTAAGTGTCAGACGACTCGGTGACATTTTGTCGGCATTGACTTTTTGGATGTGACTGGTGTCTGAGGTGGCCAGGTGTGCGCCAGGTGTGTGTGACATCTGCTGACCCCTCATCTGCGCGGCAGGCGGTGTCCCTCCGCTGTGTGGCCCCTGACCCTCCCTGATCTGCGCGGCAGGCGGTGTCCCTCCGCTGTGAGGCCCCTGACCTCCCTGATCTGCGCGGCAGGCGGTGTCCCTTCCCTGTGAGACCCCCTTCCCTCCGCTGTGAGGCCTCTGACCCTCCGCTGTGAGGCCCCTGACCCTCCCTGATATGCGCGGCAGGCGGTGTCCCTCCCCTGTGAGGCCCCTGACCCTCCGCTGTGAGGCCCCTGACCCTCCCTGATCCGCGCGGCAGGCGGTGTCTCTCCTCTGTGAGGCCCCTGACCCTCCCTGATCCAATGTCCCAAAATTTGTCTATTTGGGTGGGAAACGACATCCAAATGAAATTCATTTTCCACTCTCACCACCATTTTTAAGAACAATTTTCCACTCCCAAGTCCCAACCAAGAAAACATAGATTTTTTACCTATAGAAAGACAGTTGTGTGGATGCCCAGTTAGCATCAAACATTCTACACCCTAGAATAAAATGCATGCTTTTTGTCATTTCTCACTCCTTTTGGATCTAATCGAATCAGCAGTTTTCCACTCTCTCCCCTCTTTTTGGTGGGTAATTTTCCCCTCTGACACCCAAGACAAAACTCAATTTTGGGACACTGCCCTGATCCGCGCGGCAGGCGGTGTCTCTCCTCTGTGAGGCCCCTGGCCCTCCCTGATCTGCGCGGCAGGCGGTGTCCCCTCCCCTGTGAGGCCCCTGACCCTCCCTGATCTGCGCGGCAGGCGGTGTCCACGGCCGACGGGGCGCTGGAGGTACACACCGTGGCCGAGACGTACACACACAGCCAGGCCGGTGAGCTCGACCAGTTTCTGCACTACGTGCGCATCATTTGAGCGCGCACCAGGTGAGCCGCGCCGCCCGGGGCGTAGGGGGCGCCGCATGTGAGCAGCGCCCGGGGCACGGGGGCGCCGCGTGTGAGCCGCACCCGGGGCACGGGGGCGCCGCAGTGATTGGTTCGGCTGTTGTTGCTGGGACGCTGTCGCCGGGCGCTCAGTAGCGAAGCCCCAGCACTTAGACCGGCTGGTCTCCAACGCCGCACGAATTGTTATCACGAGCAGACTGCGATTAATGTGATCATTTTCTGAGTGTCTCACGTATAAATCAAGTTATCTCTCGCTCGCGTCATTTTCGTTAGCCTCACGCCGTGCTGTTGACAGTGTTATGTGTGGGCCGTGAGTGTGACATATTTTATGCACCCAGTGATACATGCGCTTGAGCTGGAGTCGGTCGGCAGACCGCTGATGCCGCTGAAGAGTCCGGCGCGTCTGTTGGTCCGCGCTCTCTGTGATAAAATTGCCGGTTTTCCGTGCGCGCACGGGCCGAGTGGTGCCGATCTCACTGATCTAGTCCGTCCAGGGAACCCGGTCCGTCCGTTTGCGGTGTTCCCGGCTCGTGCGCCGGCCGCCCGCCGGTGGTCGCACGCGAGCCCCACACGGCCCCGCCGCGGCGAAGGCGGGCGCCTTGTGTCGGCCGGCTCGGCTCGATGAGCCTATCAGTAATCTCTAATGCACTGTTGTGAAATGTGCTTACATGCGTGTCGCAATACACTTCAAATAAGGCTGCTGTTTTTACTTTTTGTAATATCTTGGTTTGTGAAATACTTATGTATTGGCCGACCAATTGATTAATATTTTTGACAAAGTTTATGTCAGTCAAGGTAGCGAGAGCGCGAAACAAAAGTTGCATTTGAGTATTTTCACAAGTGTTATCAGTAACGTCCTGATGTTACGCTGCTTCTGGACACTTCCTCGTCCTGCGACACGAATAAAACACAACATGCTCGCTGATCATGCCTCTAATTTACTATTACAAAGAAAGACATGGCCGAAGCGCACACACAAACTCCGCCTCCAATGCGTATCTCACTCCTTTATCTGGAGTAAATGAACGAAAAGGACGTCCCACGTCAAACAAACGTCATTGCTTACCAACATTTGAACAGCTCTCGACAAAATTTGGTCAATCGATGTCAGTCTTATGCAGATGAAGGCATATGAGGTGTTTCAGTTGATGTCTGGAACAAATTGGGAACTCGCGAAAATATGGGGGATTTGTTTCGTTCGAGGTATGAGCTATTATTCCAAAAACATATATTATCGCGGAATTCGTACCATACGCTCTTACTAGCTATACGATGAGGGCGCAAACTAACTCCGTGGCTAATGGGGCATAAAACGACAAATAATCGCCAGCAACGCACTGGCCCAACATGATCCGAGTCGCGGGCAGATACACTCGTGATTTCGGCACTTTTATCGCCTATTGCTGATCGCTTTGACTTGGAAACGGGAGACCAGTTTTGACCGAGCGGGTCGGAGCACGGGCCAGTTTTGACTGGACGGGCCTGACCTCGGGTCTGGTGTTTATATCAGTCCTGACACATTTGTCTGCTGTTTGTGCCAATTCTGACACATTTGTCCGGTGTTACTGTCAATTCTGACACATTTCTCCGGTGTTGTTACTGTCAATTCCGACACACTTGTCCGGTATTACTGTCAATTCTGACACATTTGTCCGGTGTTACTATCAATTATGATACATTTGTCCGGTGTTACTGTCAATTCTGACACATTTGTCCGGTGTTGGCGCAGCTCAGTTCTGACACATTTGACCGATGTTGGTGCAGCTCAGTTTTGACACATTTGTCCGGTGTTGGTAGGGCTCAGTTCTGACACATTTGTCCGGTGTTGGCGCAGCTCAGTTGTGACACATTTGTCCGGTGTTGGCGCAGCTCAGTTCAGACACATTAGTCCGGTGTTGGCGCAGCTCAGTTCTGACACATTTGTCCGGTGTTGGTAGGGCTCAGTTCTGGCACATTTGTCCGGTGTTGGCGCAGCTCAGTTCTGACACATTTGTCCGGTGTTGGTAGGGCTCAGTTCAGACACATTTGTCCGGTGTTGGCGCAGCTCAGTTCTGACACATTTGTCCGGTGTTGGCGCAGCTCAGTTCTGACACATTTGTCCGGTGTTGGCGCAGCTCAGCCAGCCCAGGATGTCCGGGTGGTAGAGGCTGGTGTACACGCCCGGGTCGTTGGGCTCGTTACATCCCCAGCCGAAGCTGGTCACTCCCACCAGGAACCAGCGGTAGTACTTGGGATGGTAGAACATCAGAGGCCCGCCTGCCGGTGGGAATGGAATACACAACACAGGCATGTGCTGAGGACCCAGTGGAACATATTTCATGCTTTGAAAATGTTACAGATGCGTGTTTTGTAAACCGTTAAATTGTTCCATGTAAGGACTCGCTTACATCGCCGAAAATCTATCGTACGTGAAGTGATAGAAAAGCCACATGCGACATTTTAAAGTTCCCACAAGCTGCGCGAACATTTTTAGTTGTCAGCGAGCATGATAAAGCCAAGAGGTCCATTAGGTGTGGGCATAAATACCCTAATGAGATGTTTAAATTCATCGCCGGGCGAGGACTGATCACACAGTCGCAGCTCAGCGGTCCGCGGAGTGTTTGCGACTGTACGGCCGGGGTACCCGCGCGGCCGACCGCTGCACTGACCCGAGGCGGCCGGCCGCTGCACTGACCCGAGTCGGCCGGCCGCTGCACTGACCCGAGTCGCCGAGGCAGGCGTCGGTAAGGTCGGACACCCCGCAGAGCATCCTCTCGGTCAGCAGGCCGGGCCGCTCGCGGTACTTGGTGGCGGCCGCGCAGTGGTCGTGCCGGATCATCTCCATCCACTGCCGGCAGCGCACAGGTGGCCGCGAGGGATATTACCTTTAGATTAGGCATTCTCTGTCAACTGAGGCCATTGTGGGACCCCGGGATGAGAGGACAGCCGAGACACGGGCTGAATCGACCACGGGCGGTACGTCACAGTGGCTGAGCCCGTCGCGGTGAGACCGGAGTGCCCCGGTGGGACAGGTCGTCCAAACAATCCAGCGGTCACCCTTTTGGATTCGCCGTCCAACTAGGGCTGTCAATGCTGCCAAACATACAGGATCGCGGGTGGACCAGCCTCACGGCCGACGGGATGTAAACTTCTCACAAAGCGTGACCACGACCCGCACGTACGCAGCTTTTGTCGCTGACCTACTCCGCTCTCGTTCGACGCTCACAAGTCACAATGGCTAACAACCGTATGCAACATTTATTGTTATCCGATCGTTGTTGGCAACCGAAAGGTGAGCTTCACACAGTTTCAGAGTTCGGAAGCATTTATCAAAAGGCGGTCGCGTGATAATTGAACAATTGAACATGCCGCGGAACACGGACATTGCGGCACAGGAGACGTTTTGCTACCGCTACGCAAGCGACGGGAAGTGAAGCTATTGGTCACTGCGGCACAGCATAACTGCAGGCGTTCTACTGCTGCCATCTAGCGGCGAAGGGTGAAGTTACTGGTCACTGCGGCACAGCATAACTGCAGGCGTTCTACTAATGCCATCTAGCGGCGAGGGATGAAGTTACTGGTCACTGCGGCACAGCATAACTGCAGGCGTTCTGCTACTGCCATCTAGCGGCGAGGGGTGAAGTTACTGATCACTGCGGCAGCCGGCACAGCATAACTGCAGGCGTTCTACTACTGCCATCTAGCGGCGCGAGGTGAAGTTACTGATCACTGCGGCACAGCATAACTGCAGGCGTTCTGCTACTGCCATCTAGCGGTGAGGGGTGAAGTTACTGATCACTGCGGCACAGCATAACTGCAGGCGTTCTACTACTGCCATCTAGCGGCGTGAGGTGAAGTTACTGATCACTGCGGCACAGCATAACTGCAGGCGTTCTACTACTGCCATCTAGCGGCGCGAGGTGAAGTTACTGATCATTGCGGCACAGCATAACTGCAGGTGTTCTTCTACTGCCATCTAGCGGCGAGAGGTGAAGCTACTGATCAGTGATCACTGCGGTACAGCAGGCATTCTGCTAATGCTATATAGGCGAGAGGGGAAGCTACTCGCCATCGTGGCAGAGTTGCGGGGGCCTGCTACTGCAGCACTACTCGTATAGGCGTCCAAAAAACGCAATGTCATACGGATTCGGTGATCGAGAGGCTGTTTGCTGGTCGTAGACTCAACTCGTCACTCGACGTGCTTCTATATCTCAATATCTAATATCTAATAGCGGTAATAGGTATCTCAATAACAAGGTTAACAAACCAATCACTGTTCAGAGACGAGTCCTACCTTGCTCTTCATGAGGACTTCCGACTGTCGGCCGCGGTAGGAGGTGCGGCCCCAGCCGGCCGTCACCACCCACGGATCGGCCACCGGAAACCTGACGGCATTCAACACACGCTCTCAACACGATCGCAGTCGCATGCACACTGCCCAAGCACTCGGTGTAATAGGCATCGTGTCTGTCGCTTTTTGTTTTCCTCGTTAGTGTAGCGCTAACAATTAACTATTGCTATATTCACTTGATAAAACTATTTTGGCAATAAGTTCACTCAAGCGCCATGGACCACCTCCGAAATGAATCTCACTGACCGAACCGTCCTGACCAGCGTTTTATGCCGGAATTGTTATCAGCCTACGCAAAAAGACACAGACTAAAACCGCAAACCCCACCGAGGAGCCTCCCACGGTTTGGCGTGAATTCCGGGCGGCTTACTTGAGATCGTACGGCAGGCAGATGGGGTAGATGACCGCGGAGATGTTGACAGGCCGGTCGAGCTCGATCAGCGCGATGTCGCTGTCCTTGTTCTCATTGCGGTACTGCACCTTCATCACCGCCCTGCCGTTGACGGCGCAACCAGTCCCGTGTTATGTCACAGCGATCTGTACAGTTTCCTAGCCACCGTTCCTAACACTCTGTGATGCCTATTGTTGAGCCAACGGGCAGTACTAATCACTGCGGCACAGCATAACTAAAGGCGCTCTGCTACTGCCATCTAGTGGCGAGAGGTGCAGTTACTGATAATCGCGGCACAGCATAGCTGCAGGCGTTCCGCTGCTGCCATCTAGTGGCGAGAGATGAAGTTACTGGTTGTTGCGGCACAGTATAACTGCAGGCGTTCTGGTCCTGGCATCTAGTGTCCAGAGGTGAAGTTACTTGTCATTGCGGCACAGTATATCTGCAGGCGTTCTGGCCCTGTCATCTAGTGGCGAGCAGTGAAGTTACTGGTCATTGCGGCACAGTATAACTGCAGGCGTTCTAGTCCTGCCATCTAGTGGCCAGAGATGAAATTACTGGTCATTGCGGCACAGTATAACTGCAGGCGTTCTGCTACTGCCATCTAGCGGCGAAAGGTGAAAAGACTGATCACTGCGGCTTAGTGTGATTGCAGGCGCTCTGTTGCCGGATAGGAAAACCGGCGGACTAAGCCGGGGCCGTGGTGTGCGAGCCGGGGCCGGGGGAAGGGTCTTGTTAGGGGTCATGGCACCGATGCCCCTGCGGTCGGCACCGACAGCCTGCCAGTGCTTACGGAGCGAAATTTCTCACCGTATCGCCATCCCACAGTGATGCCTGTTCAGAGGAGGGAGGTGAACACGTACCTTTTGATGCCGCGCACCTGCACCTCCGGTGGGCTGCTGCGCGCGTAGTGCATGCCCAGCACCACCTCGGACATCTCCCACTGTGTGGGCGAGCGCAGGTTGGCCAGGCAGTGCGCCGCCGTGGCCACGAACGAGTCCGAGACGAGGCTGCCGGCGCAGTACGGCAGGTTCGGGATGGTGGCCATCGGCGACGTCCTCTTCCTGCCGCACCGTCGACCGGCGTCACCGTCGGGGATTTATTCAGCGTTACCACACCCACTACATGCAGAGTGGTAGACGCTGACACCACTACTCACTGAGGCTTCATAGCCCTGCCTGGACCGGCTGTCCTACGCGGGTGTGATAGATGCACACTTACGAACAATGAAAGAACTTAATCGCAGCTGAAAAGTATTTCTTTTTTAGTAGGTGCCTAATCGCTGGAGAAGAAAGTAAGCAACAATGAACAAATACAACATAAAATGTACGATAACTACCTTACCTGATAGCAACGATCCATGGAAATTCATTCCTGCTTGTTTCTAAGCCATTGACGATCCTCGAATTCGCTGTGCCAGGCCGCCCACACGTGCAGTTTAACCCTTCTCCTAAGTTAATAATCGTCGTGAAAAGCAGATAAATTTTAACATTGAAGCAAAACGTTTTTAACATAATAATAATAATAATTTAACGATCCACCTATCTAAGGCATGTACTTCAAAATTTAATGGATTTTCAATAACCCAAGGTAGAATTTGGATGAAAAAAAGCAAACTGGGCCAAATGGCAGAGTTTCGAGGTCGAAGCTCGCGTATGTTCACTTATTGCACCACCGAACTGATAACAAACGCACTCCGGTTTGGAGGCAGCGCACAAGGAACCCTACCAAGTACCGTTACAAAGCCGCGAGTCTCGGGCACAGACACATCTGTATTCGAAACCAGAACATAACAACAACCGAGAGCACCACACAGGTTTTAGTATCGGATAAAACATATATCAGTCATGAAATATCTACACGCACGCACTACGGGGCAGAAGGTGGCATTCGTACCGAGGACCATAACCGTTCAACAAACACCACACTGGCAGCGACTCGGAACCTCAACTTCTCCAAAAATTACCTCGAGAATAATTGAAGAAAATGCATAATGCGTTTAGACGTTTACCAGATCAGGTGTACTAACAGACCCCCCGGCACGATGCACCCGGGGACCTCGTTACGGCGCCGCCGGCCCCCCGTACAGCGCGGCTCAGAGCGCCGCCGGCCCCCCGTACGGCGCGGCTCAGAGCGCCGCCGGCCCCCCGTACGGCGCGGCTCAGAGCGCCGCCGCCGGCTCCCCGTACCCGCTGTGGCGTTTATCGATCCCGGCTCACATGACAGACTCCGTTCCGCCGGAGCCCGCGTCCGTCTATCACTCAATAGTATTTGCAGCAGCCCTCCCCGCTCCGCAGTCCACAGACTGCCGAGCCGAGCCGCCGTCGCCTAGCAGTTGATGGCCTTTCCGCAGTAGGCGGCCAGGTTGGCTTCCCGCAGTGCCTCGGAGCAGGTGGGGTGGGCGTGGCAGACGCGCGCCAGATCCTCGCAGGAGGCGCCGTACTCCATGGCCAGCACTGCCTCGTTGATCATCTCGCCGGCGCCCGGGCCGATGATGTGCACGCCCAGCATGCGGTCCGTGGCGCTGTCGCCGAGCACCTTCACGAAGCCGTCCGTCTCCTGGTTGGTCTTGGCGCGGCTGTTGGCCGAGAATGGGAACTTGCCGACCTTGTACTCGACTCCGTCGGCCTTCAGGTCCTCCTCAGTCTTGCCCACCCAGGCCACCTCGGGGAAGGTGTAGATGACGGACGGCACGCAGTTGTAGTCGATGTGCACCGGGCCGCCGGCGATGCCCTCCACACACACGATGCCTTCGTCCTCCGCCTTGTGCGCCAGCATCGGGCCGTGGATGCAGTCGCCGATAGCGTGGATGTTGGGGATCACCGTCTGGAAGCGCGAGTTGACCGGGATGCGGCCCTTCTCGTCGCGCTCGATGCCCATCTTCTCGAGGCCGAGCCGGTCGGTGTAGGGCCGACGGCCCACGCAGACCAGCAGCGCGTCACAGTCCAGCGTCTCCTTCTTGCTCGAGTCCTTGACGTTCTCGACAGAGACGGAGATGTTGTCGCCGCTGCGCTCGGCGCCGGTCACCTTGTGGCCCAGCTTGAACTTGATGCCCTGCTTGCCGAGGATGCGCTGGAAGTTTTTGGACACCTCGGCGTCGATGCCCACGCCGCCGACGTGGCCGAGGAACTCGACGGCCGTGACCTCGGCGCCCAGCCGCGACCAGACCGAGCCGAGCTCGAGGCCGATCACACCGGCGCCGATCAGCACCAGCTTCTTGGGTACCTGCTTCAGCGAGAGGGCGCCCGTCGACGACACGATCGTGTCCTCGTCGATCTCGATGCCCGGGAACGGCGTCACCTCGGAGCCGGTGGCGATCAGGATGTTCTTGGTCTTGATGACCTCCTTGGAGCCGTCGGCGGCCGTAGCTGTCACCTCGTTCGTGCCGGTGATGGTGCCGTGTCCCTTGACGTGCGTCACTTTGTTGTTTTTGAAGAGGTAAGCGACACCGGAGGTGAGGCCGGACACGGCCTTCTTCTTTGTGTTCATCATCTGCTCCAGGTTGAGTTTGACGCCCTCGACGTCGATGCCTCGGTTTTTGAACTCGTGCACGGCCTCATGGTAGAGGTGCGAGTTGTGCAGCAGCGCCTTGGACGGGATGCAGCCCACGTTGAGGCAGGTGCCGCCCAGCGTCTCGTTCTTCTCCACACAGACGGTCTTGAGTCCGAGCTGGGCGGCTTTGATGGCGGCCACGTAGCCGCCGGGTCCGGACCCGATCACAACCAGGTCGGCGTCGTGCTGCGCCGAGTCTGAGTAGGTGCGCCACTGCAGGGCGGCCGGCAGGCGCGCCAGAGAGGCCACCCGCACCTGGCGGAGCGCCGCTACAGCCTGCATCGCGAGAGGTGCTCACTGGACAGAATAATGTCACCGCTGAGAGGCACGAGTCACCTGAAAAGGAGAAAACAGCCCAAATCAACACAACCTCAATACAGCCAAAAGTCTGCATCTCAACCCTTGTCACAGTTTGACACATGAATTAAAAACACTCATTCCCACGCCTAGGTACATTACCATAGGTACACAGATAACACGGGTGATAAACCATCTACCATTCACAAAGCTCTTCCGTTGAAAAAAAAATCAAGAGAAAGAGGGCCAAATCAAATACCTATGTGTTGAAGGGAAGCTAAGGAAGGCCTGGTAACAGGATGACCAATCTTTTTCATGTAGTTATGTGTTTGACACAAACTTTGTATGGTATGACAAGTGACAAATGCAGCAGACATATGAACATGGTTGGGCATGGGCTGCAGTGTGCTAATGTTGTTAGTATGCTTTCTGGATAGCTGTGTGCATTGTGTGACTGTGGTGTGCCTCACCAAAAATAAGATATGATGTGATGTGTGGTGGCACAGACATTTTCCTGTGCTTTTTTATTTAATGTTTTGGGGATTTTTGAAGAAAACTGAGCAAGCAAAAAAAAAGATTACTCTTCTATTAATTTCAAGGAACATTATCTTGCAAAAAATAATTAGACAGACAAGTTCAGCAACAAGGGAGAGTATATTTATCATTATTAACAGAAATTTGCCTCTGATTGTCATTGTTTTGTTTTATTTAAAGAGCAAAGCAGCTTTATCTGCTGAAGCAGCCCCAAACCTGGCCCCAAAATAGCAATGTTTTAAAGACAGATTTTTCCAAAGTTTCAGCCCACTCATATGACTATTCATACCTCTTGCTTACCATTATAATCTCTTATGTCAAACAGCACTTCAGTTGGGCAAACTAGGCGGCGTGAATCAAAATATGGAGGCATCAAAATATTGATTCTAGTGGGCGGAGCTTTGACCATATATGGGCATAGAATCAATATTTTGATTCAATTTGGGACGTTCCCACCTTCAGACGACCCGTTACGGCGGAAATAACCCCCATGACGGCGAGATTTTTCGACAAGTCAATACAAAAAACTTCCCCGCTTCAATTTTTCGCTGCATGGCTATCAGCCGTTTGTCGCGCGTACCTTTACGGATGGCATAAAGATTTCGCCGCCATAATTCAACAAAAACGTGCTGTTAAAACTTGCTCTGTTTATCATTAACGACAAGCCTCTGTAATTTTTTCATAATTTTGTCTAAAAGAAAATAAAAAATGCGTTATTTAGTTGTATAATTCATTTATAAGAAATATTCTTTTTCTTTGTATCTAGCCACGATTTCCGGTTCCCGCCATTTCGCGCCGGCGTCGTGGGTGTTTGGATGCAACGTAGTGCTCCCGGTTTTATTTTGTTTAAGCGACCTTTTCTGAAGTGTAAGTAACAATGGATCATATTTTAAGATACTTTGAAGTGTGTTTTTCAATTTCAGGCATGTGATCTTAACGTTTCTTACCGAAAACTCGTTTTAAGAGATGGTTTTAGGAACATGGCGCGGTAGCGACGTCAGCGGCGCGGGACGCCTTCTCACTTTTCTGCTGTCTTTTTAAGCTATATTTTTTTGAAAATGATGTCTTAGGTGTAGTATTTCAGTGAAATATGATGTCCTTTAAAAGTTACGGTATAAATTAGTTACAAGAAGCCTAATGTTTTGTCTCACATGATAGAATTGTTGGGTGGACTCATGAAATGGGGGCAGTGCATGTCCAGTATTTTACATAATTTGGATGTTTTAGCCTCTGCTTGTGTCTCACTCACCCAATTGTTGCTACAACTTTAATTTGTAAGTGCAACAAAAGCAAGTTGCTGAATGGTGTAAGCCATATTTACATTATGCGTGATCTTCAAGAAAATTATGTGTCTAATGTACGTCAGTCCAGGGAATGCTGGATAGTTAATTTTCAGGATTGTCCATGCCAAAGTTAATTTTAGAGGCCAGTTTTATCAACACAAATAGTTGCATGCTGGAATTTTTTGCCTAAAGACTGCTTCACATATGGAGCGTTACATGATGGGCACGTAAACGGATAGGGCTGTACTGTTCATGCTCTGTATGTGAAGTAACTTTTAGACAAAAAAAATCCAGCAGCCACCTATTTTTCTGTTGGTACAGCTGGCCTCAGATCTACTTTTTTGGCAGAATTTATATAACTGCATGAGATGACAGTTGTTGGCGCACCTGGTGACGTTCAGTGGAAATTTAAGCGACATTAAGTATTTAATTTTTATTGAATATATTCTAAAATTAATAGTTGCTGAACAAATAGAATAATAACACATATAGTTTCCTAATCTATTGTCCACAAATGTCCTAATTATTGTGTTCTGTTCTGTTGTTTGCTGCAGGTCAACCAAGGCTCAAACACTGGTCGTTGCGGGGATCAGCTTCAGAGGGTCAAGGATGGCGTCTTGAATCGCTGTTCAGTCGACAGGCAACTGTATGACAACGCCATCCCTGTCAACCAGAGCGTCGACCGAAGAAGGGCGGCGTTGCGCGGACCTGGCCGCACCCGACCAACCGGTGGAGTACCTGACTCGGGCTGGGCGGAGACTACCTACATCACGACCTTTTGAACTTTGATCTCGTAGCGAGAAACAATATGACGTAAGGAAGTGTGTATGTGGCTGGCGGGGCCGAGGGTGAAATGCGCCACGTGTTTATCCTGCCGGATGACGACAGCGTCACCAACCTGTCAAAGAACGAGCTGGTGCAGCGCGTGATGACTGCTATCTCGTCCCTAGAACCGGAGTAGAAAAACGTGCGCATAGCCCAAATGAAGCGAACCAAAACACAGACAGGACTGATAGCTTTTCGGTCGAGAATGTTCTGAAGATGCTGATCAGTAGACCAATTGGTGACCGTTTTCGGTGGTAATATGGGATCTTGTGGTGTTCCAAAGCGACCTGCTTTGGGTGTGGACATAAGTGGCTCAACCTGACAGGATTGATGTTTTAGGTAGCCGTGCTAATCATAAACCCTATATTGAGTGTATCTGTACAAATTTTGTTTATATTTATTTCATGTATTTGATTCGAAACCGAAAATTGTTCTTTGTAAGTAGGCAACATCGAGACGTTGAAGTCATTCTCCAGACGTTTATTTGTTTTTCTTACCTGTCCATGGTATGTCTTATTGGTTAGGTCTCAGTTTCAAATATTATTAACTGCATGTTTTGCAAATACGTAGCCATATTGAATAAGAGACGTGTCCTAAAAGTGAGTATTGCTTTGCATGGGATGTGAGCATCAACGACAGGGCTTTGTGATGGCAAATGTGTGGCAATTGCAGGGATCTTTGTGAAATGTGTTATGAATATCATCGTATTATTTGCGAATGCAAATACATCCGTGTATCATATTTTCATTCAAATTGTGCAATTTGTGCAACGGGCTTGAGTATATTGTTCGGCGAAATATCTCTTACTGTACTCCACAGAAATGGGACGGGATACAGATGCGTAGAAACACATTCATGAACACGTGAAAGACGATAAGTTAACTTTTTTTTACTCAAAATCAATGCTACAAAGCAGGGATGTGGAGCCGTGAAAATGTCAGACGGCTTCGGCTCCGGAGGAAAAAATCGGCTCCAGCTCCGGCTCCGGCTCCGAGTAAAATGGTCGGGCTTCGGTTCCGGCTCCGACTCAGTACAACCCCTATACAAAGGTCAGCACGGCTCCCTTCACGCATTCCCTCGAAGGCTTGCAGCTTTGAGCAGGGAGCTAGGGTGAGTGCTGAAAATCCCTGGTCTACCGTGGGAATAAGGTCTAGAAAAAAATTACACGATCCTGTGCTGATAATATCTTCATGAATTTATTGAATTTGCATTATTTGCACACAAGAAACGTTCCATAAATCAATTTGAAGAGTGAAGTACATCTGCAGAAAGTCAGTTCGCAGAATCAATATATTGATAGACCAGCTGATTTCAGAATCAAAATAATGATTAGCCAGCTGTTTGCGGAATCAAAATATTGATTCTCGCCGGGATTAGCCGCCGTGATGAATCAAAATCTTGATTATTTTCAAGACGCTTTCCTAAACTAACCTAAGAGGTTAGGGCTATTGTTTCGTGCCTGGCGGGTAGCTTCAACGTTGCTCTTCATTTTGTGAAGAAACTATCTTGAAATTGTAGCCGGTTGCTGAAGAATTGACGTTTCTGTGATGGTCTGCACGTATGCCCATATATGGTCAAAGCTCCGCCCACTAGAATCAATATTTTGATGCCTCCATATTTTGATTCCCGCCGCCTAGTTTGCCCAACTGACTTGCTAATGACAAACAAGCACCTAAGAAGTGAAAAGAAGTAAACAGCATGCTGATGCTGGTAACCAATGGTGGAAGGACAGGAAAGCACCCAGCAGAGGCCTATTTTACTGACAGAAAAAGTTGCCAGCTGCCGGTATTTTTCCAAGAGTCTCTCACAGTTTGGATCAGCCACAGGAAATAAAACCTGATATGAAAACATCAGTTTGATACCTATGAATTGACACCAATATTACTTTTCACATTAGCAATTATCTTTTAGTACAACTGGGCACTGAAAAATTCAGGAAAGGCAGACTACTTTACGCAAAGCAAAAGCAGACTACTTTCACCAAAAACTAACCACAGTAAGTCATCTTTCTGTTATTTAACTGGCTTCAGAGTTTCAGACCAGTCAAAGATCAGGGGAAACCAGTGAAAGTTTGTCTTGGGCCTCAGGGCATGCCTTCACTCTTCCGACAGCCTTACATAACATTTGAGCTTTCATTGTAAATGATCAAGACGAGATGAGCAAACAATCTTACAAGAAAGGTTTAGCAAAAAAGTATGGAAATCCCTCAAATCCTTCACAGATTTTCTGTCGGAGCCGCGACGAAGCACCATCAATATTGATATAAATTGAAATATGGGAAGGCCTGAACCCATTGAAAAATGATTGTCCCATACATACACATCCCCATACTGCTACAAAATCAGCAGAACAGTTGCTAACTATTTAAGAATCAGTTAGTATGATATCAGCGAATCGCGAACAATCAACAAATTGACATATTTCCGAAATTAACCTACCTTCTCTCGTCAAGAACCAGCGGCAGGCGATCAAAAGGCAGTTTTGAGCAAGGCTATATAAACCAGGTAGAACGCTCTGGGAAAAAAGTTGGAAACAATAAATTAGTTGCAGCATTCCCTGATGACGCGAATGTGGGTCAGCGGCCGGCGGCCGGCGGCCGCTAACACTGTATGAGGATGAGTGCACGGAACTTTTGCTTGTTGGAGATTGCGCTAGGCAGTTAAATGTTAATATTAGGATATGTTTCGAAAGTAAATTGAACGACGCTTCGAACGCCGTCAATGAATTTGCGATGCGACGCGTATTTGTTTAGTTAGAGCCGGCGAACTTTTACCTTCCGACCGCGCGGGGAGGCGATATGGTGCCACACTGACGGTTTTTAAGATAGCTCAAAATTATTTTAAGCTAAAGAGCTGAAATTTGACTCGTCCAATCTTTTGATCAAGCTGGATCTTCTGGTACAGGTCGCATATTTAAGGTACGTGAGGTTGTTGACCTATGTTGTCGCTCGTGAGCCTCTGCACAGTCTAAAAACAATGCAATTTCTGAACACTCAGTGCCAAGAAATCCTTCACACAAAGATGACACTTGGCAGAAAGAAGAGCTGTCGGTTTCTTATCGTTCGTATGTGTCGTGTTTTCACAAGAGTTTAGTAAGGTCAGGTCCGTCACGTGACCTCCCCTCATAACTCAATAGGTTTACTTTCATAGAAGCGTTTATCAATCGCCGGAAATCTCATAGCCAATCCCAATTCCCACTGGACACTGGATCCATACCCACATGGGGCCCTCCTGACTGGCCACTCCCTCTGAAATTCACAATAACATTGGGCTGCGGCCACGGTTATGTATTAATGCTTTTCACTGACAGAAATACAACAACTTCAACGCACCACAGTGCACGCCGCCACAACAGTCCGACCCACGTCCCTGATATCGACTAGCACCCGGCCGGATGCACATACGCGGAGCCAATCAGTCCGAATGTGACCTGAAGCTTACAATTGCTGTGTCGCATGGCGCATGGCACAGGACAATTCCTAGCAGCTGTCGGCTGAAGTGGAGAAACAGCACGTTGCGACACACCGCACCGGCGACAGAGCTCAGCAGGGCTGGTTTGAGGCTAAAGCCAGAGGTAAGGGCGGACACAGGCAGAGGCACATACATTGCACGACAAATAACAGGATGTCAGTTAGGGATATAATTCAAGACGAATGATTCAAGACGGACTGAAATAATGCACATTCTGCTCACTTAGATACCAACTTCAAACTTGACATTTATAGCACCACGGAAACAATTGGCACACAGGAAAGAAACAAAAGATGAGGTGTTTTTAACTCAAGGAGGTAAAAAGAGGTTGCATATGATGGAACAGCCCGAAGTGCAGACAAGCACATATTTTTGGTAATAGCTATCAGCTGTCCTACTTCTCTTCTCCCTTCACCAACTACTGGACACATTTGAAGCATCATATTAGCACCAATGTCCATAACAAAAGCTTGCAAGTAGTTTTATGAAGCCAAGGGAAATATGCCTACATCATGCATGTAAGCTCAAAATGCATTACAAAGGAAGGTTATCTAAAGAGAATAGTGGGCAAAAGCATTTCATAGTTAAATTATTCAAAACTGCACACAGGGCAAACATAAAAAGCAGCAAGTGTAGTGTTCTGTTATGCTTAAAAATAGTCCAAAACAAAATACAATCTTTTCTTGTTTGAATTGGTTGTTCTTCTATGCCATTTCATCCATATCTTGATTACAGATGGGCTGTTACTGTAGGCTGATGAAGTGACACTTGATTGCCTTTGTGCGAGTTTCAGTTGCAGCCTCCTATAGGTACTGCACTGGAAAGCAGATTGAATTGAATGCCTCTGAAAGATAGGAATATAGGCAAAGTTAGCTGTAGTAGTGTCAATGATAAAAGACATGACATTTTTGTCTTTTGACATACATTTGTTGAAGTACAAAAAGGTACAAAATAAATTGGTTTGTTTCAAGACACGCACACTGCACAAGTGCACAAAGCCGCACAGACATTACACAAGCATATGAAATTGGTACACATAAAACTTGATGATCAGAAAGGTCAAAACTAGCAACAATAATTAATTGAAGTAAAAGTTACAATCACAATCATTTGATTTAAAATGACTTGACAAAGTCACAAGACGCAACGCTCCTTTTCACTTAAGAAAAGTTTTATGCTTTCATTATCCTCCACATATCAACCAGCTTGATACCAGGCTGTGCAATAGTGGGTACATAACCCCATGTTTCCATTTTATTAGAGCAAGTGGGGTTACAACAACAATGCTAATGTCAAACCCACATCTGTAACCCGTACTGAAGTTTCAATCACCTTACAAGAACACCTTCTGGCAGTTTGATGGGCAGAATGGTCATAACTACTTTCTCCTCATATTCAACACAAATTATCTCTTATACAGATACAGTTTAGACTTGGTTATGGCAAGCATTTTCGAGAAAAGATATTATAAAAGTCCAAGACAAAGGTCGAGAGAGACAACACCAACATAAAACACCGACTATGTAGCACTAATACTATCAAATTCATAAAAATATATACATGAGTCGATCAGAAATTCACTGTAGATTTCGAAAATGGTGTCAAATGCCACTCAAATACCCCCATTCGCATGTACGAAGCAATATAACACTGACCTTCAGTTCCGCGTGCCATTCTCCATAGGCCACTGTGTATTAAATAACGCGTTCACTGATCGCAAAAAAAATGAGACCCACATATGACGCGTTTGCTACCAGCCAATCAGCGCTCGAGATGCCGAGCGCTGATTGGTGGAGAGGGCCGTCGTCAGCAGTCCATTACATGTTGTTTTCCTTGAACATATACGTGAGCAGCTGATGCTGCTCACGGGTTGTTTCCATTTTTCGTAATGCTGAAGGCACGGGAGCGAACCCCCCTGGTTTTGAGCCAAAGATCGTAAAATAAAACATATGCGCCACATATGGCTAAAGAAGACGACAGTGAACAGCTGATATTTCCTACTCCATATTTTTATTACACGTACAAAACTGCAAACTTATATCAACATATCATGTTACGGCACTTCTCGGCAATATTCCCAACATTCTTCGTATTTATCAGTGCCTTATGGCTCGCTCAATCCATACCTACCAATACAGCCTTAGTCATTTATAAATTGTGTGCATAGGCACTTGGATAAGTGGGGTGGACCCTGATAACCATACGAAAGATACCACGAATATAAATATGAACTGACCATACCCAGCCCCGAAAAACTTCTTCGGTTATTGCACTGTTCGTGGCATTTACCATTGAGCATTGCATAGTCGCGTATGTAGAGCCAACCTTGCTACATAAAGTAGCAAATACGCTTTACTTTTGGGCTTTGGCTCATTACGGCATTTACCGCACCAAGCCACAAGCTGTGCTATCTCTGACAAGCACGGTGTTTTTTAATTTAAGAAACTTGTTGAATAGTTGTCGGATGCATGACAGTAACGTTCGAAGCGCTTGATGGCGTCCATGGCGGCCACCTTACAGTGGCAATTACATGTACATTCCTTTCAAGACATCGTAAAGTGGTATCGGTGACAGTAATTGTGCACAATTGTGCCGTCCTTCACTTTGAGTAGCGACACCTCGTGTACCTTTCCGCCGTGCGCGTGAGAAAGAAACGTCCTTTAATATATCCATATTGTCATGAATGACACATGTCTGTCTCCTCCTAACCATGTCACCGTAGATTCTCAGCACATTCTATTCGTCCCACAGATGATTTACAAAGTCACGTCGGCTGCGTAGTACGTGACAGATGAGCGGAGTAGGCTCAACCAATAGCACCAGTCAATGCGAACAGACATGGTGCTGTGAAAATCTGCAGCCGTGTAGAGCCGGGGAAAACGACTTTCAACGCTCCATTGTCGTAACTGAGGGCAAGTTTCGGTCTTCCCGGTCCGGTCGTCTGCCGATGGATACAGTAAGAGCTGACGGACAATTTCAGGAAATACTGAACCAGCCCTCAGCCCAGGAAGAAGCAATGACTGGATGCATTGGATCGGCTGGATTCAGAGGTTTCAGAGGCCCACCAGTACACTCAAATCGAAATCGCGGACACTGAAAATGAGCACATTTCTTAGTAGCCTGTTATCCCGTTGTTGCATTAAAAGCAAATATGATTCACGCTCGTAGGTATTTCAACATTTTCTTGTCAAAGACGAGAAACAAGGTTTAACACACGACACATTTATGACACACGGAACATTTATCCGTCATGACGGCGCAGTCTGCACGCGTAAAACACACACACCCAAACACAGGAGGTTGGTGCTGACACTCCACTGGATAACGCTCGACTGGGATGCCCCCAGTTAGCGCCGCAGGCGAGTACCAGCAATCGTGGTCTATGAGCAACCGGCCCTCAGTCGCGGTCTATGGGAGCCGGCGGCCGGCCCTCAGTCGCGGTCTATGGGAGCCGGTGCACGGCCCTCAGTCACGGTCTATGGGAGCCGGCGGCCGGCCCTCAGTCGCGGTCTATGGGAGCCGGCGGCCGGCCCTCAGTCGTGGTCTATGGGAGCTGGCGGCCGGCCCTCAGTCGCGGTCTATGGGAGCCGGCGGCCGGCCCTCAGTCGTGGTCTATGGGAGCTGGCGGCCGGCCCTCAGTCGCGGTCTATGGGAGCCGGCGGCCGGCCCTCAGTCGCGGTCTATGGGAGCCGGCGGCCGGCCCTCAGTCGTGGTCTATAAGCAGCCGGTGCACGGCCCGCCGGTACCCGGAGCGCAGCTGACCGCCCAGCTCGGCCGCCGTCAGCCAGCGGTGGTCGGCCACCCGGTCGGCCACCGGCTCCACCGAGCCGCCGCGCAGCACCGCCTTGTAGAAAAACACCTGTCGGCGGCCCCAGAGGCGCGTCAGCGGCAGTGGGAGACGGGGACACAGAACAAACCGCTAACTGCCACACCAGGGAGACCGAGGAGATCACCAACTCGTCCGCGAATCAGACGGCGCCAAGATGCAACACTTCATTAGGCCTAACGTTATTAACCATTTCTAGATATCGTGCATGAACAAGGCTCAGACCCAGACATACATTGAGGTGTTCCACTTGGGGTGGCACATATTGTAACATGTAAAAAGGTGTAACTGGTGTAACTTTTCCATTTTACACATTTTCCAGTTCATGAGAGCCACATATAACTTTCAATGTAAAATTAGGGCAAAAAAAAAAAATGGCTAAAATTGACATAGAGCAACGGTAACACCAACACTGCAGAGTAACGAAGAAGCTGACATTTCGCGATCCGGGCCCAAGCCGTCCGTCTACCATACCTTGCCGCCGACGGCACCCGATTCCTGCTGCAGCGGCTTCGGGTACTTGTACTTGTAGAAACCCCACGGCGCGTTGCCCAGAAACTGCGCGTTCACGTTGGGTCCTACCATGGCGTCCAGGGTCTGCTCAGCCGTCTGTAAAACAGGTAAATGTGACGAGTCACAACTGGCAGAGCCCGCCTGGTATCCAACCGTCCACCTCAGCAGCACAGCAGGAGTCCCCCCTCCCAGCCGGCCGGTAGTAAGAGCCCGGCTCGGGCCGCTCCTCAGCGCTGATTGTTTGCTCCCGATCGGGATGGGCTGGGGTCACTGGCACTGATGGCGGTACAGGCCAGTATAGGCCGTAGTCGGCAGTCGGCATGGGCGAGATAACAATCCATAAAGTCGGTAAGCAGGGCGGCGGATCGTGTCAGGCCACGCGGACACTTTTGATACTGTATACGGCTATCACGATGTAGAAAAGTCAAACGATGCACAGAACAAATTAAGGTGACGTCACTCGCTGCCGCAATGGCCCGCAGCTGCGAGTGCCCGGCAGCAGGTGTGGTGAACTGGTGAGCTAAGCGGCCGAGCTCCGGCAGCCCCACCTGTCTGGGCGTGGCTCCGGCAGCCCCACCTGTCTGAGCGTGTCTCCGGCAGCCCCACCTGTCTGAGCGTGTCTCCGGCAGCCCCTCTGCCCACCTGTCTGAGTGTGGCGCCGTCCTGGTGGCGGCCCTGCGGCAGCATCCAGCTGGTGCCCGCGCCGAGCCGCTGCTGCACCACCAGCACCAGCCGACTGGACAGCCGCCTCTGCAGGGAGCGCTGGTCGGCGGTCCGGTCCGCCTCTGTCAGCAAGGAACGGAGCGACCAGCGCACTGTCAGCTACAGACACTGGCCAGGACCCTGCGCGCAGGGAGCGGACCACACAGCGCACTGTCAGCTACAGACACTGGCCAGGACCCTGCGCGCAGGGAACGGACCACACAGCGCACTGTCAGCTACAGACACTGGTTAGGTCCAGCTCAACTCTGTCAGCAGGGAGCGGGGCGACCAGCGCACTGTCAGCTGCGCACAGGGAACTGGGCGAATCACCACTGTCAGCTGCACACAGGGAACTGGGCGAATCGCCACTGTCAGCTGCGCACAGGGAACTGGGCGAATCGCCACTGTCAGCTGCGCGCAGCGAACTGGGGGCACGGTTCGTCGGAAGGTCATCTCAGGCTCAAAAGAAACGATATATACCATTCGAAAGCTGACGGTGAGCTGAATCCAAAAATGTAATTTTTATCAAAATCGATCGATGGCCTTTTTTGAAAATTGCGTTTTTGTAAAAACTTTATAATTTCTTATTCAACGGGCTGTCCCGAACATTCGTGAAAACATAAACATGTATTTTTGAGTTCCAGTGAAAGCTGAACGCCAAAAGAACAATATTTAGGGAAGCAATATTTCCAAACATTAATATGCGTCTCCCACAGCCGACAATAACGCGCAATCACACAGCTCAGTGTCACGATGGACCAAAGTCAGCCACACAGAAGCGTGAAATGACCCTTATCGACTCGCAGACCCGGCGCTCTCGGCCCGCCTGACCGGCCACGGCAAGGAGGTTCGGCTTTCGTTCTACTAAACAGACGTCATATTTGTTAGTTTAACGATTCAAGTCGGTACTTGAGTTATTCAGGATACATGAGCAGAAGATTCATTGCTCTGTCATCTTCACATCATGCATTAATTTGCATTTGTTCATGTCTACTTTGCTCAATTGAGCTTGGTATCATGCCCATATAAGGAAAATTGGCCGCGCTGAAATGTCAGAGGTTGTACCGGCCTCAGCTCGGGTGGAGTGGGGGTAGCGATCGGTGGGGCAGGGTAACCTTTGACCGGTCGCACGGCCGAGCAGCTGTCACCAGTACAGCCTCTGACGGTGAAACCCCGCTCACTTCCCCTGCGCGGGCACTGAGCGCAGCTGGATGGAACAAAGCATGTATAAGAAAAATATAAATTAAAGCATGTTGTAAATCAAGCAGAACAATGAATTTTCTTCACAGGTATCCTGCATAACTTTAATAGCGATGTAGACAGATAAACTGACAAATATGACATTTGTTTAGTAGAACGAGAGCCGAACGTTCTTTCCGTGGCCGGTCAGGCGGGCCGAGAGCGCCGGGTCTGCGAGTCGATAAGGGTCATTTCACGCTTCTGTGTGGCTGACTTTGGTCCATCGTGACACTGAGCTGTGTGATTGCGCCTTATTGTCGGCTGTGGGAGACGCATATTAATGTTTGGAAATATTGCTTCGCTAAATATTGTTCTTTTGGCGTTCTGCTTTCACTGGAACTAAAAAACACATGTTTATGTTTTCAAGAATTTCCGGGACAGCCCGTTGAATAAAAAATTATAAAGTTTTTACAAAAACGCTATTTTCAAAAAAGGCCATCGATCGATTTTGATAAAAATTACATTTTTGGATTCAGCTCACCGTCAGCTTTCGAATGGTATATACCGTTTCTTTTGAGCCTGAGATGACCTTCCGACGAACCGTGGGCGAATCGCCACTGTCAGCTGCGCGCAGGGAACTGGGCGAATCGCCACTGTCAGCTGCGCGCAGGGAACGATCCAAACCGGCCACCGCACTGCCAGCTACATACGCTGATCAGATATTGATAAAGGGTTACGGGAGTTTCGTAATGTTTTAGAAAATGAAATACCCGGTAGCCCACTGAGCCCAAAGCGTACGAAACATTCCACATCCTACTGAAACCACCTACAATAGACACTATACTCTGGTTCCCCAGCCGCCTGCAACGGACACGCTCCGGTACCCTGAGCGCCTGTTATAGACACTACTCAGGTCCCCCTGAGCGCACCTGTAGCGGACACTCTCCAAATCCCCCTGTAACCGCCTATAACGGACACGCTCCGGTACCCTGAGGCCTTATATGACGGACACTGCTCCGGTGCCGTGATCGCACCTGTGACGGTGGGCGCCGGCTCGAAGCCGGCCAGCTCCTCGGCGCAGGCGTCCTCGAAGTCGGCGGCCGTCTGCAGGCTGGCCGCCTCGGCCAGGTCGGGGTCGTCGCCCTCGGAGGCCCGCAGCGCCTCGGCCGTGGCGCTGTCCGGCACACGCACCACGGAGATTACACACTGCCCCGTCCAGTGTCGAGGACCAGACACACCACGGGCGATTACACACTGCCCCGTCCAGTGTCGAGGGTCTGACACACCACGGGCGATTACACACTGCCCCGTCCAGTGTCGAGGACCAGACACACCACGGGCGATTACACACTGCCCCGTCCAGTGTCGAGGGTCTGACACACCACGGGCGATCACACACTGCCCCGTCCAGTGTCGAGGACCAGACACACCACGGGCGATTACACACTGCCCCGTCCAGTGTCGAGGGTCTGACACACCACGGGCGATCACACACTGCCCCGTCCAGTGTCGACCCGACACACCACGGGCGATTGTACACTGCCCCGTCCAGTGTCGAGGGTCTGACACACCACGGGCGATCACACACTGCCCCGTCCAGTGTCGGGGTCTGACACACCACGGGCGATCACACACTGCCCCGTCCAGTGTCGAGGGTCTGACACACCACGGGCGATTACACACTGCCCCGTCCAGTGTCGAGGGTCAGGCACACCACGGGCGATTACACACTGCCCCGTCCAGTGTCGAGGGTCTGACACACCACGGGCGATCACACACTGCCCCGTCCAGTGTCGACCCGACACACCACGGGCGATTACACACTGTCCCGTCCAGTGTCGAGGGTCTGACACACCACGGGCGATCACACACTGCCCCGTCCAGTGTCGGGGTCTGACACACCAGGGGCGATTACACACTGCCCCGTCCAGTGTCGAGGACCAGACACACCACGGGCGATTACACACTGCCCCGTCCAGTGTCAGGGGTCTGACACACCACGGGCGATTACACACTGCCCCGTCCAGTGTCGGGGTCTGACACACCACGGGCGATTACACACTGCTCCGTCCAGTGTCGAGGACCAGACACACCACGGGCGATTACACAATGCCCCGTCCAGTGTCGAGGACCAGACACACCACGGGTGATTACACACTGCCCCGTCCAGTGTCGATGACCAGACACACCACGGGCGATTACACACTGCCCCGTCCAGTGTCGAGGGTCTGACACACCACGGGCGATTACACACTGCCCCGTCCAGTGTCGAGGACCAGACACACCACGGGCGATTACACACTGCCCCGTCCAGTGTCGAGGGTCTGACACACCACGGGCGATCACACACTGCCCCGTCCAGTGTCGAGGACCAGACACACCACGGGCGATTACACACTGCCCCGTCCAGTGTCGAGGGTCTGACACACCACGGGCGATCACACACTGCCCCGTCCAGTGTCGACCCGACACACCACGGGCGATTACACACTGCCCCGTCCAGTGTCGAGGGTCTGACACACCACGGGCGATCACACACTGCCCCGTCCAGTGTCGGGGTCTGACACACCACGGGCGATTACACACTGCCCCGTCCAGTGTCGAGGACCAGACACACCACGGGCGATTACACACTGCCCCGTCCAGTGTCAGGGTCTGACACACCACGGGCGATTACACACTGCCCCGTCCAGTGTCGAGGACCAGACACACCACGGGCCACGGGTGATTACACACTGCCCCGTCCAGTGTCGAGGACCAGACACACCACGGGCGATCACACACTGCCCCGTCCAGTGTCGAGGGTCTGACACACCACGGGCGATTACACACTGCCCCGTCCAGTGTCGAGGACCAGACACACCACGGGCGATTACACACTGCTCCGTCCAGTGTCGGGGTCAGGCACACCACGGGCGATTACCCACTGCTCCATCCAGAGTCGGGGTCAGGCACACCACGGGCGATTACCCACTGCTCCGTCCAGTGTCAGGGGTCTGACACACCACGGGCGATTACACACTGCCCCGTCCAGTGTCGAGGGTCTGACACACCACGGGCGATTACACACTGCCCCGTCCAGTGTCGAGGACCAGACACACCACGGGCGATTACACACTGCCCCGTCCAGTGTCAAGGGTCTGACACCATGGGCGATTACACATTGCCCCGTCAAGTGTCGAGGGTCTGACACCGCGGGCAATTACACACTGCCCCGTCCAGTGTCGAGGACCAGACACACCACGGGCGATTACACAATGCCCCGTCCAGTGTCAGGGGTCTGACACACCACGGGCGATTACACAATGCCCCGTCCAGTGTCGGGGATCTGACACACCACGGGCGATTAAACAATGCCCCGTCCAGTGTCGAGGACCCGACACACCACGGGCGATTACACACTGCCCCGTCCAGTGTCGAGGACCCGACACACCACGGGCGATTACAAACTACCCCATCAAGTATCGATCGAGGGCAGAAATTATAACCGAAAGCACCCCTGGTGGGCCCAATGTCGACGAAAGGTGACTATCAACTTTGAGAAAACCAAACGGCAGCTTTAACGCACGACTGTCGACCGACCACAGACAATCCTCTGTGATATGGTAGGGTCAGGGAATGATGGAACAGGGCACATAATATAACATTCAGCACACATCACGAGAACTGGAGACGAGGTAGCGTCGACGAGTCGCGGGTACCGACTGTGGACGTAAGTCGTACTCACATGTCCATCTCGTGGCGAATCTCGTGAGAGGACTTGAGGCTGCGCTCGAACTCGAGCTGTCGCAGCAGGGCGGCGAAGCGGCGCTCCGTGTCGCTGAGCGGCGGCGCCACCACCGGCAGCCGCTGCAGGCACACGGCCGTGTACAGGTGCCACGGGCCGGCCTGGCCCGCCGACGGCGCCGGCTCAGCTCTCGCCGCTGCCGGAAAACCGCACAACTGGTCAGAACGCTCAGACACAGCCAATCCCAGGACCACAGAACCCATCGCGATCACGACTTAGATAACGACTATAAAGGAGCTATTACGTACAGGCTGTCCAGAAAGATACTTAACCAATGCCAAAAAATCACCAGAAACTATTATGCATCTTAGGTACAATTCATCTTCCATCTTATCTTTCATCGCATAAACTAACTTCTCAACCACTGCCTTCACACTCTGGCGTCCCAATAGGCAGATTGGAAACTAAATGATGGGCTAAGGTTCCCAGTTGAAGAGTTGTGCTGTAAAGCTCTTGCAGATCCTCCTTCGGATTCAGGTTCAGCAGGCAACCCAACCACACCTGTCTTTTTTCAAGAAGGCATGCATATTGTCTGCTCCACTTATGAGTTTTTATAATGAATGTGCTGGCACCCACTCCTGCATGAACATGGCATTGGACACCAGCATTCCAACCCCTAAGCATCCTTATTCTCTCCATTATGGTCTCATTTTTGGGGCAAGAGGTTAAATATCTGGCAACCTGTCCAGCTTTATCTCATAGCATAGTGTTGTCAGTCTGTTTCTGGGACACCATATGCAGTTTTAAAAGTCAGTGATTGCTCAGTATCCTCAACACTTCTCTAAGTTAGGCACTAAGAGCTGGTCTTGACAGCCCTCTAACTTTGTGTAGCCTATGTGGCCCAACTTGGTAGTATGTGGTTTAGTCAGGATGATCCGCTTTAAAGGTAGACACATCAGTCTACATGTACATCTAGACATTCTAATAAGCATGATGAACTCAGTACTGATGTACCAAAAATAGCTGTTAAAATTTTGAAAGCCTTGAGGGCTTCCAAGTCCTTTTCCTAAATCTTTTGATCTTTCACAGTGTTCTAGATTATTAGGTGTAGGTAGTCATCTAGCCCTGACCATGCAAAATTTGGCTGTAGTCTGAAATCCCCCACAGTTAACTCCCATCCTCTTAGCAGTTATTACCAAATTTTAGCAAAAGTCTTCTATGGCCTTGATCCGTTAAAACTTTTTAAATTGTAAAATAGTCCGTACATAATCAGCTTCCTTCTTGGAACTGTGGTTGCATTAGTAGGTACCTACCTTCTCCACCATTCAATAACTGTGCTGAAACCCAGTTATACTACCATTGGTATTTCAATCCCAAAGGAGATCAATCAGCACATTATAGCCATCCATCACTGCAACCCAGAAATAAGTCATGTTTACTCAGTTGAGACTTGTCAATTATAAATAAATTGAAAAATGGGTCCAGAGCTCTCTCCTTAATCCAAATAAAATATACAGTAAATGCAGGAAACCATTCTTATCACCAAAAGCTCTTTTCTTACCTTGTGATAAGGTCCTGCAAGAAAACTGAAAGCCACCAAGGAGCAATCTTCGCGAACACCATGTCAATCGCATGACTAGCTTGAAATGTTGCCTTTGGGCTCTTCTTTGAGCTGAGCTACTCCAATGCTTGACCAGGCTTGACTATCTTGAAGAATCTTGTGCTTGACCTCTCGTAAAGTGATCAAAGGTGTCTCACTGAAAGCTTATCACAATCATCTCATGCATATAGCAGGCCAAATGGATAAGATGCAACCTTTGGTAAGTTACTACACAAAGTGAAACTTCTCTTATGGGCTGCTATGTAATAACAATAAGGTACAAACAAATAATAACAAACCAAGAGAAGCGGAGTGTCAAGTTTAGGGCCTTGAGTTAGGATCGTTCTTTACGGGCAGGCACAAGCCCCTGTTCGTGAACAGCGGCAACGGTTCATTGACAACCCGCCGCGGCGACAGTAACCAATACCGATTGGCCAATGCGTTAGTGACGTCTTGAGTGACGTTTTACTTGCTTCCACCTTGCATTGTATTGTATTGTATTGTATTGTATTTACGATCATGGGCGATCCGCACATGGCGTGGCTTGCCAGAGAACCGTATTGTATTGTATTTACCACGGTATTTACGATCATGGGCGATCCACACATGGCGTGGCTTGCCCTTGCCCAGAGAACCGAAACCAGGAAATTCGCCGAGGCTAGCTAGCGCCAAGACTATACGCAATGATGTTGTTTTGTTGGGTTAGGCCCTTGCGGTCTGAAGAGACCATTTCAGAGCCGGAAGGATGATAGGAATTAGGGGGAGACATTGGTTTGGGCAGACACCCTAGAGAGTCGCCGGGGCTGAGCCCGTCCGAAAGGACAGGCCGACCAAGCACTCTCTGCACCCGGCTACGGGGTGCGCTCCCTCGGGAGCAGCGGTGCCGCTCCAAGGGAGCAGCCCGCAAGAGATAAGGGTGCCTGTCCAGCCCGGAGTGGGGGTTGCGGCGTGGAGGAGAAGGATTTCTGTATCCTGAGGATGGAAGCGATGGAACAGGGTGCGCAATGATGTTCTCACCCAAGGCTATATAAACCTCCCACCCCATAGGACACAGAAAACAGTTCCTTATGTTTTTTTAAGTGGAACCAGTAGGTATTCACCAGATTTGGCGGTGTAACTTCATGCCATGGCGGTTCCATGGGAAGGGGAAACGGGAGGAATTTAGGACGCCCGAAGCCAGCGACATTTCGTAGTGCAAAAAAGCTTATCACTCTTATGACAAAAGTCCGTTTTAAATCGCAAGGCAAAACACTACAAGGCAAAACCTCATGTCTATGGCAAAACCCATTGGCAAATAATTTTATTTTGTAACCTTTCGAGTATGGCCATCTCCCGTAACGTCTCGCTTCTCGGACCACTTCTCTAGACCCGCCATTAGCTATGACTTCGCATCGGTATTTGTACTGTGTTTATAGTAACGGTTTTGGAACTTGGAATTATACGGTATACCAAAACTGCAGGAGGGAAAAATCTACCCAACGGGCAAGAGCTGTTAGTAAGTTATCGTACAAACTAATAGTGTATTTTTCAAGTCATGTCCTTACTACAAGGCCAAGTACTGCTAGCAAATCCTTCGTAAACTCCGTCCTAAACCTTGCAATAATCATAAGCCCACTGACTTCATGTTTTTCACAGGCATATAATATTTTGCATATGACAGACAATTTAAAAACAAAGTTGTGATATTGATCACCAGCGATACCCGACAAGGCATTAACAGCACCGATGCGCCGCGTCCCACCATTTATAGTCTATTCGGGGCATATAAACGTCAACAAGTAAGTAGCAGCTGCGGTCGGCCGGCTCAGGAGGGCGCGGCGTCCGCGGCCAGCAGACAGCCGGCGGCCGCCGTGCTCCAGTGCAGGTCGCCGCCGCTCACCACCAGCGACCACACGTACGGAATGAAAAAGTCCTCCGGCTCGTTCTCCTCCACATACTTGAATTTCAGCTCCGGGAATTTCTGCAAAAAAAGATGAGCAGCTGTCAATACAAAACAAAACAAGTTTCATGTTCCTAAAAACATATAGAACGTTCACAAAGCACTATAAAAAGGCCTAAATTCCCCAGTCACAGCGTCTAACAACAACAAAGAAGATGTGTCGCACGCATTCAAACACGCCCACACACATCGCCATCATACAGCTGCACTCCGACCGTCGGCCGAGAAGCCCGCACCGGAGCCCAGGTGACGGAGACAGCCCGGCGCTATGCAGCATGCACCTGTCAGAGCATAGGTCCAGCCCCGCCAGCCCGGACCCCCGCCAGGCGACGGCTCGGTCACCGGCACAGTAGCCCGTCGCGTGGTCGGTCAGGGCGGCAGGGAGCACGTTGAACCCGCTCGCCGCAGTAAATGCCGCACATCCCGCGCGGCGGTGGTCCGGGTACCGGGAACTGAAAACGCCGGACCGACCTGCAGCAGCCCGGCGCACCCTATCGTCTGCTACTGTCCGGGAATAAGTTATATCGAGGTTTCGCAGGAACAACAGTGTCAAATTCGTTGTTTGTTTGTTTTGTTGGGTTAGGCCCTTTCGGTCCAATGAGACCATTTCAGAGCCGGGAGGATGATAGGATATGGGGGGAGACATTGGTCTGGGCAGGCACCCTAGTGAGTCGCCGGGGCTAAGCCCGCCCAGAGGACAGGCCTCCCAGCCCCAAGGCACTCACTGCACCCGGCTACGGGGTGCGCTCCTTCGGGAGCAGCGGTGCCGCTCCAAGGGAGCAGCCCGCATGAGATAAAGTTGCCTGTCCAGCCCGGAGGGGGTTGCGGCGTGGAAGAGAAGGATTTCAGTATCCTGAGGATAGAAGCACGGAACGGTGTGTGTCAAATTCATCGAAATTTCTATTGTATACCAGTCGACCCAGCTCGACGAGCCGCGTAGGGTGCAAAAAAAAAATATCCGTACCACTAGGTGCTACCTGTGCTGTAATATCGAGCGCAAGAATACCCTGAAGGATAATGTTTCACAGCCGCTTCAAAAGTTGCTTGCTTCTACCGTTAGCCCTCGCACTTGTCGGGGGGGGGGGGTCGGATGGACCCCCTCGGCTTTTCGCGAATAACGCATGCAAAAATCGGCCGATCGCGACGAAACTTTCAGTACCCTCGACTCTTACACCTAAACCTATTTGTAAAAAGGGGATACATAAATTATTTGTGAGGTTATTTTGGTACATATTTTCACGCAAATCAGCTCTGAAAAGCAGGGATGCGGAGCCGTGGAAATTTCAGACGGCTCCGGCTCCGGCTCCGGCTCCGGAGAAAAAGATCGGCTCCGGCTCCGGCTCCGGCTCCGGGTGAAATGTCATGGCGGCTCCGGCTCCGGCTCCGGCTCCGAGTAAAATGGTCCGGCTCCGGTGGCTCCGGCTCCGGCGGCTCCGGCTCCGGCTTCTACTCAGTACATCCCCTATGCGATCAATTAAATACGAGTGGAAGAAAAAGGCGATGGGATTGGTATTAGTTGCTTCTGTATTTGTATAACAAGGCTATTTTGAATACCACATTGTTTTACGCCTTGTACTGTCAAACCGAACTAGGTAAATAATTGTTTCTTCTTAAGAAAAGGAGCCGGAGTCGCCCCCTTTTTTGACGGCTCCGGCTCCGGCTCCGGCTCCGGGCTATATTGTTTCACGGCTCCGGCTCCGGCTCCGGCTCCGGGCAAAATATGCCGGCTCCGGCGGCTCCGGCTCCGGCTCCGGCTCCGGCTCCGCATCCCTGCTGAAAAGGTTTCTTTTTTAAATGGTTTGCGGTTATTGTATATCAGAATATACTCACATTATAATCATGTTCCCAATATGTAGTGATAATGTAGTGACAATATGTAGGTAGTGACAATATGCTCCCAATATGTTAGTGATCACTGCCGCACAGTATAACTGCAGGGTGCAGGCGTTCTTCTGCTGCCATCTAGTGGCGAAAGGTGAAGTTACTAGTCACTGCGGCACAGCATAACTGCAGGCGTTCTGCTACTGTCATCTAGCGGCGAGAATTGAAACTACTGATCACTGCGGCACAGGCGTATTTGGAAATTCCGACCTCGACGAGCATCTGTGGTAGAAAACAGAGGTGGGCATCGCTACCGAAATTCGGAAACCGCTACCGCTACCTTCCGCAACCTGAGGTACTCAAAGCGCAATCGCAACTCCGTAACTATTTTGCAGATTGTAAAGCCGCAACTCGCAACTCCGCAACTCCGCTACCCACCTCTATTAGGTTCCCATGTTATCAGTTTTAGTCCTGAAGTGAAGTGTTATATCTCACAGCTTGTACCTACCTTTGGTCGACCTCTGTTGGTGACCTGACTGTTGGTGACTGATGACGCCACGTGACCTATAATGATCAATACGCAGGTCATTGCGACACCAGTCGACTTAAATGACCTGCCAGCGTTACTTCATGCATGTTTTAGTTGTTTGGGATCATTTTGACGCAAATTCCTACGAGTTGTAGGTATTTTCTCTATTTGACTTATAATAGGGAGGTCTTCAGTTGACCTGACCCTAGGTCACAAATATAAAAAAAAAATATGAGACATACACCTTGTATATCTTGTTACCCTTGTCACATGCAGACAGTTTCAAAGTGATTGGTCAATGGGTGTAGCTAGGGCGCGTGTTTGATTTTTTTTTCGCAGATTGGGTCACTTGACTTGACCTGGTGACCTGACCTGAGGTGACCTGGGTCTGACATGTTGATACAATGTGTGGAAAGGATGTGTTAATAGCAGTGCCAAAAACAGCTGCGCTGCGCGCCGCCTTTTTTTTGATATATCTGCGGAAAACCTTACGGAGGGGTGTCCAAAGACCCCCTCACCCCGGCCCGTGCTGGCGACCATAAAATTTGACTTAACACTCGCCTGTGTGCGGTGTTTTACAGCGTCTAACGTGCGTGTGTGTGTGTGGAGGGGGTCGGCTGGACCCCTCCCCTGCCGTTCGGCACCTGATCGAGCTAGAGCTTCGCGGAAAAGACGAGCGTGTTGCCCGTGACGATAGGAAGCCGATGATACCCAATTATAAGGTCCTAGGTCATTGATTGAACTTCCAGGCCAGGTCAATGACCCAAAAGTCGGGAAAATCGGGACCTGCTAGATCTTCGTAAAGTGAAACTGTTATGGTTTGGTTTCGGGGCGCTGACCATGAATTTCATGTTTGTTTTTATCGCAGATAATGTCTTCACGCATTTAGGCCAGATCGGGTCAGGTCGGGTCAACCAGTAGGCGTCCTACCGCCTATCCATAGTACCTACCTAGGTGTCAACCAATAACCACCACTGAAAGCCTCGTAACATGTTACGAAGGCACTAAAACTGTTTCGTTAATGCTCAAATGGTTGCTAAATTGAAATCAGCTAAAAAAAATAACTAGGCTAGAAACATGTGCAGTGCAGTGCAAAGGGTGCAGTGGCGCCCCCGCCAGGCGCCGGCGGTGGCGGCCCCGGTAGCGGTTGCGCTTTATAATTTTTCGCTTCCGCAACTCGCAACTCCGCAACTTTTTTGGGCACGGTAGCCGATCCGTAACTCCGCTACCAAGAGGGTAGTCCGCAAGTTGCGGAGTTGCGGAGTTGCGGACCTAAGTTGCGCAATGCCCAGCTCTGGTAGAAAACCATCACTTTCGTAGGGGAAACTACTGCTGTCTGCTACCATTTGCACTGCATGTGTCGCTATAGTCGCGACATCTATGCAAACAAACCGCTTATAAACTGTTTACTGCGACATCTGTGTGCGCCGATTCTAGTTAGCGATTAGCTAGGGCACCAGGGTGGATCCATCCAGACTTTCGGTTTGGGGGTGGGGCCGGGAGACATGAAATGATCATTTCATGGCCGGCCCGATCCCCGGCAGTCAAAGTTGCTGAGCGGTGGGGGGGGGGGGGAGAAGGAAGGTCCAATATGATGTCAAAAAAGACATGCCTCTTGCCTATAGCTATATAGGTAGTAGGTACGCATGCATTGGTATTAGCATTTAGCAGTGTGCCTCCTGAGATGTTCGTGATTTTTATCGATTCATCGAGTTGACGATTTGAGGATACCTTTCTCAAAGTGCCTATCATGCAAGAAAACATAAAAACCAGACATGTGCTTGTATGTATGTATGTATTGATCTAAAATCCATCCACATAACATGGTTTTTCAGGATTCAGCGTCATGCACAATACAGTAAAATGCAAGAAGGCAATAGGCACTGGCAGATACAATAAGACAACTAATTGCACTAAAACCGGAATAAAACACAGCAACCCAAGACCTCAGGCTTCGCTGGCCGCCACTGCGCGGCGAAACGCGGACAGCGTGGGCTGCTCCCTGACGGCCGGCGGCAGCCGGTTCCACGCGGCAGCAGCGCGGTAGCTAAACGTTCTCTGTGTGGAAGAGAGCCTACACTTCTGCAGCTCCAGGGCGCCAGCTTCTACAGAGCGTGTGACCCGACCAGACACCTCAGAGCGGGACACAAACATGCGGCGGATGGAGAGAGGGTAAGCTGGTATGTGGAGCGCCTTCCACACCTTCAGTAGGTCCCTCTCCCACACCAGCCGCTCCACTCTGGGCCAGCCCAGGGATGCCAGAGCCGGCCCGATCCTCTCCCGACGCCGCACGCCTGTCACGATCCGAGCACTGAAGTTGATGAGTTTTTGGATCCGAGTGAGTTGATTTTTTGTGGTTCCGCCCCACACCGAAATGCAGTACAGAATGTGAGGGAACACGTGGGTCTCAATGAGTAACTTTAGCGTTTCCTGGTCAAAATGGTGGCGGAACTTGGAGAGGGATATGAGGAGGGCATTGCACCTCCTGACGATGTGACTGATGTTGGCGTCCCAGGCCAAACACGAGTCGACAGTCACCCCCAACAATTTGATGGTTGGTGACGGTTTTAAGACTGACTCAGCTATGCAGATATGAAAGTTTTCGATCTTGCTGAGAGTCTGGCGGGTTCCGATGAGAATGAAGTCGGTCTTTTGAGGGTTCATTTTAAGA